ACGAGTAATAGGAGAAACTGGGTACAGAGGAGCACTGGACTCCGGACTACCTTCTTAATGCTTTCTGTAAATCTGGAACTGTTCTAAAAAAAAATAAATTTTAAGAAGCCAAGCAGGCCCCTTCCTCATAGCATGCAACAATGCAATCATTGTACCTGATGCAACAATGAATCATAAACTGCTCATATAAGGCCGAAGCAACACAGGATTATAACTTTAGACCCTGGGTCCTTTGTTTTTATTGATTTTTTTTAAGTTCGCACACAAAGTAATGTGGTTGTCATGACATTTCCATGTCTGTGTTATTGTTATTATGTCTGTGTTATTATAGTTATTGCTAATTCTCTCCTCTCCCCTAGGGCTCTCCCATACACATTGCTCCCTTCTGGTCAGTTCCCTTCTGTAGCTTAGACAGTCCCTTTGGTTTTTTCATATTGTGACTTTTGTTTCCTAGTTATTTCTTAAAAATGATGACAACAAACTCACAAAAACTTTGACCCAAATTTTACCTTGCCTATAGGATATGCAGGGATAAAGGTAGAGCAGAGACTGAGGGAATGCCCAACCAATGCCTGGTCCAACTTAAGACCCACCCCTTGGGAGAGAGCCAACCCCTGACACTATTAGGACACTTTGCTAAGCTTGTCCTCTGAGAGGCTCCAGCCAGCAGCAGATCGAAACAGGTACTGAGACTCACAGCCAAACATTAGGCGGAGCACAGGTAGTCTTGTGAAAGAGTGAGGGCAAGTGCTTGCTTCCGGGAGCACATAAACTAAAATTGGAACGATACAGAGAAGATTAGCATGGCCCCTGCCCAAGGATGACACACAAATTCGTGAAGCGTTCCATATTTTTAGATTGAGAAAGATCTTCACCAACTCTGTATCTGACAGAGGGATAATATCCAGAATGTGTAAAAGAACTCTAGAAGTTAAAAAGCAACAAATCAAGTAATCCAATTGAAAATGAGGTACTGAGCTAAACAGATAATTCTCAATAGAGGAATATTGAATGACACAGAAACACTTAAAGAAATGCTTAGTATCCTTAGTCATCAGGGAAATGCAAATCAAAACGACCCTGAGATTTCACCTTACACCCATCAGAATGGCTAAAATCAAAACCTCAAGTGACAATACATGCTGGAGAGGATATGGAGAAAGGGGAACCCTCCTCCACTGCTGGTGGGAATGTAAACTCATACAACCACGCTGGAAATCAAGCTGGTGCTTTCTCAGACGATTAAGAATAGTGCTTCCTCAAGATCCAGCTATACCACTCCTAGGCATATATCCAAAAGACCCTCAAGTATACAACAAGGACATTTGCGCAACCATGTTTGTAGCAGCTTTATTCATAATAGCCAGAAGCTGGAAACAACTCAGATATCCCTCAATGGAGGAATGGATACAGAAATTATGGTACATTTACACAATGGAATACTACTCAGCAATTAAAAACAAGGAAATCATGAAATTTGCAGGCAAATGGTGAGATCTAGAAAAGATCATCCTGAGTGAGGTATCCCAGAAGTAGAAAGACACACATGGTATATACTCACTTATATTAGTGAGTATATAAGTATATAAGTATACTAAGTGGATATATATGAGTATATATATATATATATATATACATATATATGTATGTATATATATATATACTCACTATATAAGTATATATATACTCACTATATAAGTGAGTATATAAGTATACTAAGTGGATATTAGACATATAATATAGGATAAACATACTAAAATCTGTACACCTAAAAAGCTAAAAAGAAAGAGGACCCAGGGTAAGATGATCAATCCTGATGCAGAAAGGCAAACGGGACGGACATTGAAAGGAGAAAACAGGGAACAGAACAGGAGCCTACCACAGAGGGACTCAAAAAGATTCTACCCAGCAGTGTATCAAAGCAGATGCTGAGATTCATAGCCAAACTTTGGGCAGAGTTCAGGAAATCTTATGAAAGAAGGGGGAGATGAAAGACCTTGAGGGGACAGATGCTCCCCAAGGAGACCAACAAAACCAAAAATCTGGGCTCAGGGTTCTTTTCTGAGACTGATACTCCAGCCAAGGACCATGCATGGAGATAACCTAGAACCCCTGCACAGATGTAGCCCATGGCAGTTCAGTATCCAAGTGGGTACCCTGGTAATGGGAACAGGGACTGTCTCTGACGTGAATTCAGTGTCTGGCTCTTTGATCACCTCCCCCTGAGGTGGGGAGCAGCCTTACCAGTCCACAGAAGAAGACAATGCAGCCAATTCTGATGAGACCTGATGGGCTAGGGTCAGAGGGATGGGGAGGAGGATCTTCCTTATCAGTGGACTTGGAGAGGGTCGTGGGAGGAGATGAGAGAGGGAGGGCGGGATTGGGAGGGAATGAAGGAAGGGGATACAGCTGGGATACAAAGTGAATGAGCTGTAATTACTAAAAAGAAAAATTAAAATTAAAAAAAGAACTGAGCAGTTAAAAAAAGAGTGGGGGCAAGGATAAAAGGACCCAGAGGGGCAGGGGCTCCACAAAAAGACCAACAAGTCCAACTAACCTGGGCCCAGGTGGGATTGCAGAGTCTGAAGCACCAACTAAGGACCATGCATGGACTGGACCTAGGTCCCCTCCACATATGTAGCCAATGGGCAGTTTATTCTTCATGTGGATTCCCTAGAAAGGGGAACAGGGGCTATCTCTGACAGGAAGTCTATTGCCTGCTTTTTGATCCCTTCCCCCTGGTAGGGCTGCCTTACCAGACCACCATAGAACAGAATGCACTCAGTCCTGAGGCAACTTCATGTGCTGAAGTGGGATGGTGGGGGAGGCTCCCCTTTTCTCAGGGATAGGGAAAGAGAGTTAGGAGAGAAGAGGGAGGGAAGGTGAGACCAGGGGGAGAGGAGGGAGGAGGCTATGACTGGGATGTAAAGTGAATAAATAAATGTACTTTTTTAAAAAAAGAAATGATGACAGAATCACAAATGAGAAGAGAAAAGCAGGCATGGCTTGGACCTCATAGACACTTGACAATGCCTTTGCTTCAAATGACACCATGAAGGAAATAAGAGGATAAATCAAAGAGTGGAAAGAAATACTTATTTTCAAATAATAGGTAAAGGACTATGTCCACAATCATATGCTCTAAATAATAATTTAAAAATAAATATCTTGAGTTCAGCAGTAGTGGCGCATGCCTTTGATCCCAGTACTAAGAAGGTAGAGGCAGGTGGACCTCTGTGAGTTCAAGGCCAGCCTGGTCTACAAAGTAAGTTCCAGGACAGCCAAGGCTATACAAAGGAACTCTGTCTCAAAAAAAACAACAGATAAATAAATACCTCATATAATGAAAAGACAACCACATTTAAAATGACAAGTGATCTTGATCTGAACAGACCCTGAAAACCAAGTTATCAATGGCTTTTTAACACTAAAAAGATGCTCAATGTCATTCAAACACTAGAGAATCTTAAACTGAGACCAAAATAACATACTGTCCACACCCATTAGATATCTCTAACCCAAAAAGACACATAATGTGAGTGTGGAAAAGCCCAGTCAGTGTCCTCTTTCATCGCTGGTGGGAATGAAAACCGGGTAACAGAGAACAGTTAGGTAACCAGTCCCCTGGTCATGGCTAGTCCCACTTTTCTAGCTACCGGAGCACAGCAAAGGCCTCTGGGTGTCTACAGCAGTAAAATTTGGGTGCTTAGGGCCCTCCCTGACACATGAGGTATGGATGGCAGGTGGCCTCAATCTTCCCACCTTGCCCCTTCAAATCAGGCCCGTATAATTCTGCCCTGTGAGAACTGGCTTGCTCCGTCTCTGCCAGAGATGAAATAAGAACTCACGTGAGATGGTAATTCTTGAACCAAACCCTCCTCATCCCAAGCTGCCACATGCCGATTTAGACCAAAGGACCTGCATTTCTTGCTCTGGGTAGACTCATTTACGTTAATTAAATTTTCTTCCGCATTTTAGAGGAACATTATGGACAGCTTCATTTATTTCATGCATATGTGTTCATGTATTATGCAAGTGTTTATACCTGAAAGGCAATTATTTGTGGAGGAGAAAGCCAAGGGTCGGTTTTACTTCTTTTACTTAATCGTGTTTCCAGGACCATTTCTAATGGCACTTACTCCCTGAACACTTTACTGATCCTTCCAGAAGAATTTTTTTTTTTTTTTTTTTTTTTTTTTGTCTAATGTGTTGCACACATCTTTTCCATTACTGGGCTTCATTCATTTAGCCATTCATAAATTTACTAGCCTTATCCTAGCCTTTTTCTAGAGATTAATGAGCTATGTAGCAGATGCCTAAACTCTGTAGCACTTTTCACTGTATGTGGATGATTGTGCTGTCGAATAATTTCAATCTCTGCTTATGCTTCCTCTAATTACAACTGATATCTTTTAGAAACCTCACTTTCTGAATGTGGCCTCGGTCTGTGCTGAGTGACTGGATGGATGGGTGGGTGGATGGATGGATGGATGGATGGATGGATGGATGGATGTGTGTATGAGTCTGTGTGAGTCTGTCTTTGTCGTGACAGGGGAGCCTTTGTAAGGGGAAGTCAATTCTAGGTGCATTTCTTTTCTAGTCACATCTTCTTTGACTTACATGTGCTCTTTCTGGGAGAAGTGTGGCACAGCCAATAGTCATCTAAACCCAGGAACCTTGGCTTTTGACTTTGAATCTACCACTATATATCTTCAAAGCCTTGGAGAATTTCCCTCTCTATGTCCCAGTTACCTATCTGTATTATCAAACTTCTTTTCAGATCAAACATTAAAAGAACCCTAACATCATTAACCAGTACACCAAAGAAACAAGCCACCAAAATAAGCTTTCCATGTAGAAAATGTAATAGCTCTTAATTCTGCACACCTATTCTATGTAGGCACCGTTTTGCAGACTCTCCTGAATGACCTTATTTATTTCTATTAGAATATTTTATTCTATTTCCACATAAGGAACATAAGATGATATAAATTACATACCTGGCGGCAGAGCCAACTCAGAGCCACAAAGTATGGCTCCAGAAGCTGAGTCCATAATTCTGCTGCTTGTCCAAGACAACTGAGTAGACACAGCCCCAAACCCCAGACTTCAAGTCTACCACCACATGCTTCACTGAAAGATTAAGCTGTTTTTCCAGCAAGAAATGTTAATTCAGAAGATTCTTGGTACAGAACACATTCTTCCAGAGAGCAGGGAGATGTTTGCTGATAACTCAATTTGAGCCAAGAGCTTTGTTTTATTTGACTTTGCAAAGTGGGATTGGGAAACCGGAGTGCTGACTGCTGACCTGACTTTTGAAAAGAATGCTGCTATTTTCCCAAAACCTTATCGAGCACAGGGGAGAAAGGGGACACTCTGATTGCAACACTCCCGTTTTCTTCCTGCCCACAAGTTTTCCATCTGACTCAGCATCACAGAAGGCTTCCTCTATCTCCACTGTCTTCCCCCAACAACTGGGTTTAGAAATTCACAGCACAGCTGAACCCTAGCCCTTACCTCAGCTCGGAAGTATCAGTTACAAGAAACCTGCTGAGATAATTACACAAGCCTGGGGACACTGGGTCTGGAAGAACAAATCAACAAGGAGACTGCTATCACAGGAACCTGTCTGTACTTTGAGTTCAGCAAATCCGACAGAGTAACAGCTAAGATAAAGCTGAGTCCAGAGCTAACAAGGATTGGTACCAACCCGCAAAACTGTTGCTGCTCTTCCTGCAGCTGCGCTTACACTTACACATTCTCCACACTTGTTTTTACCACCTCCTCACCTTCTCCTTCCTCTCCACAATTCTTCTTTCCACCAGCCTTTTCTTTCCCAAGTACCCACAAGACTGTTTCTTTCCTCTCTATCTCTACATTGATCATCTAGAAAAACAGATTCATAAATGCACTAAAAATCTGGAGAGCAAAGTATAAGATGGCGTGTGTGTGGAAATGTCACAATGAAACCCATTACTTTGTATTCTAACTTTAAAATATTTGTAAATACTAAATGCCAAGATGTGTATAGAATCCGTTTGTGCTTTGATTTCTACCAATATATCCCTTAATTAATCATAATTTGATTATTCTGTGACTTTTCAGTGCCACAACCCACCCACTCAGCAACTCATACACAACTGTGTACAACTCAAGGCAGGTGGAATTTGGTGTTTCTCCAGAACTGTTGTGTTTATCTAGAAAGGCATCCCAGGATACTGAAACTGTGTCGTACGCTTGTTCTGTATCCACTGACAGTAGTTTGGCAGAAACCTCACCTACAAATATAAAGCCTTAAGAAAATTAAATATTTGGAAAACATAGAAAAAAACTGAAAATTTCTGTGTAGTGTTTTTATTGGTCTTTCTGAAATGGTCAGGGCCCAACAGTATCCAGCTGTAGTATCTCTAATATATACTGAAGAATTTGCCAAGCACTTGGATCATTTATTTCTACTGGTCAGACTCAACAATGAGAGGAAAATAGGAATCTAATATATTGTGCAAAGATTAAGCAGAAAGCAGTCTCCAAACACAGTGTCAAGGCTAGGACATGGCTTAGAACCAGCAGCATTATTCCTTTCCGCTTCTGTTGATTACTTTCTGGCCAGCTAGTGTGTCACTGGGTGAATTTTTGGTCTTTCTCTTATTATCACTCAGTTGAAAACACTACATAGGTGCACATTAGAAGCTAATGCAGCATCATGAAGGAAGTAGCTTTGAGTTGGAATCTAGAAACTAATTATAGCTGTGTCATCACTTGTTAGCCTTAAGACCTAGTAAAACTTAGGGCAGAATTGTGGTAAAGTTTCACTGTAGACATTATGTAAATTAATAAGTTAGAAGTCATTCTAGGGGTTTTAGAAAAGAATACAAACAGTAAAATTTCTTATCAGGTATAATACTGTCACACTGGAGTCAGCCAATATTTACCAAGCAAGTAACCACCTATTTAAAATGTGAGGAAATAAAACTAATGGACAATGATGAACATTGTTTTAATGAAATAAGACAGGAAACAGAGCATATCACTGAAGAAAGAACTAAATAAGACACTAGAAGATTGAGGAATCTCTCATACTCACAGGTTGGAATAACTAACACTGTGAAACAATAGCTATGCTATCAAAAGCAATTCACAGGTTCCATAAAATCCCCATCAAAATTCCAATGTCTTTCTTCATATAATTAAAAAAATAATCTTAACACTCCTTTGAAAAATGAAGACTCTGACAGCCAAAGCTATCTTGAATAGAAAGAGCAGTACTAGAAGTATATGAATATGTGACTTCAAGTGTACTTCAGAACTATAATAACCAAAACAACATGGGACTATCACAAAATAGGCATGAATATAGTTGAATAGAGGAGGCAGATATAAACCCACACAGAAACAGTCATCTGACTTTTGACAAAGATATATCAAAGACACATTGGAAAAAAGAGAGCCTCTTCAATGAAAGGTGCTTAAAAAAATTGGATATTTACATATTGAAGAGAGAAACTGCATCCCTGCCTCCCAGTCTGTAAAAAATTCAACCCCAAATGAATCAAGGACCTCAGCATAAGACAAGTCTCTGAGACTGTTAAGGACATGTAGTGAAAACATTTCAAGATATAGACGTGTGCTTCTTGACTAACTCCAGTTGCTTAGGAACAACTGCAATAACTAACAAATAAGAATTTCTGAATTGAAAATAAGAAAACTGTGCCTTGCCAAAGAAAAGCACAACATAACAAAAAGACAGCCAACAATGTGGCAGAAAATATTTGCAAGCAATACATCTTACTCAAGGAAAAAAAATAACTGAATATCAAGAAAACAAACAACTCAATTAAAAAAATGGGCTAATGAAACAAACAGAAACTTCTCAAAAGATGAAGCACAATTGGTCAGTGAGGATATCTAAAAGTTCTCAACTTCACTAGCCATCAGAGAGGTGCACCTTAGTGTAAGGGGTTAGTTCCAACCCTGATTTTTATCAAGCGTTAAATAGATCAACAAAATGTGCTGCATAGAATTGGTGGACTTTTTCTCAGACATAAAGAACACTGGACTTGTTTGCAGGAAAGTGCATGCTCTTGAAGATCTTCATTTTAATCAAATTGTCATTCTCAAAAAAATAGTTATCACACACATATTTCCTTTCACATACGGTTCCTAGATTTCATATGGGTGCAGGAAATTATATATGCATATATGAAATGGAATTAGAAACAAAAATGTCAATGGGGACAGACGACTAACCACAGTGAGGGTTGAGAAAGAAGAGGCAAAAGGTATGATTGTGAAATATGCTCAAAATACATTCTATACTTGTATTAAAATATTCTTATATAACCCAGCATCAAGTACAGTGAATATATGCCAATTTCATGTGGATATATATATATGCTTAAAAATATCAAAATACAGTGATACAGTGTACTGTGCATAGTAAGGGTAAGTTTTGCTTTAAGTAAATTTTGTCTCTATTTTATGCTTTGGTATGCATGTAGTGTATTGTGATGAGGAAATGACTTTTTGATATTAGTTAATTTCAAAATATCTTAAAACTACTGAGGTGAGTCATAAAATTATTTGGATTCAGCCTCACTGCCTTTTTATGGCTTAATATTGGATTATTATCTTAGTCCAGCATTTCTTGATTTCCATATTTGCTCTATCTACCACATCTTGCTCTCAAGCACTTAACTCTGGCAGACAAATGACTAGAACCAACTAGGTAATATTTAGAGTATTTAGCTGCCACGCTTACTGAAGGCTACTCTTCAGTAGCAGCATGTTATAAACAAAAAGCAGAGCTAAGAGATTAGACTGAATTTCCAAGATATGCAATTGGTATAGTGCCTGGGGAAAGGTGAGAATCAGGACATTGAAAAACAAAAGCAGAGGACCTAGAGTGGAGGACAGAGCCTGAGCCAATGGGGGTAAGAAAACATGGACTGTCTACGCAGTCTCCCTGAGATAGCGAGGGGCTTGCTGGCACACACTTGGGAAGAAGCAACATAAGGGTAGTCTCTTGCCGGTTCCCTGTGCTCTGTGAAGTCTTGCTTGCCTGGTTCACCTCAACTCTGCGCACCCACACAGAATCTGGATCTTCTTCCCTTCCCTTCATTGTCTTCTCTCAGCCCCGCCCCTGGCTGGTTACTATACATACATCCTTCCAACCAGGGTAGGGCAAGAGGCATGGAAACAGCACAATGTAAAAAGCCTACCATCCTGAGCCACCGTACGTGTTCTTAAGGTGCTGTAATTGAAAGGAACGTTTGCCCACAGGGCATTCTCACAGTAGGTTGACACCTGCACTGATGGGTTATCGGGGACACACCCTACGTGCATGACTTGGTGTGGCTGCACAGTCAACGCACATTTCAGGCTAGCCTCTGAGAGGTTGCTGAGGATCTGAACCTAGGGCAAAGGTCACAGATCAATGCATGAAAGTGTACTTGAAGTCATCTCTATGAACACGAAAAGACCCACAACTTTGGGGGCTCCTTCTCTGAAAATCGTTCCCTTACACAAACACACACTCACAAACACATGCACATGCACACATGGGTTCTAAAGCCGGAACACAGACAAATTTGAAGTTATTTCCTGAATTCCTTACCTATCAAGATAAATGATCTGAACCTGTGACTCAGCAGGCTGCTTCTTGATCTCATTCCAGAGACTCACTGCCAACTCCAAGAAAGTCATGTTGTGACATCTACCTTTTCACTCTGATGAACAGAAATGGTCAAAGCAGGGTCACCCTAAAAGCAGTGCCCTCATTTATGACTTTATCACTGTAGTTAAGTTGGCGTTGTCCGTTACATGGGATAAAATAGAGGGCTTGAACCAGCCCTCTCGGTCACCCTGGAAGCCTCCTGTCCTGAACACGGACAAGGGCATCAAAGCTACACAAACGGAAGATTTCCCACATGGATAACAGAGATGAGTGTGGATGAGAACAGTCCAGACTTGGGCGATCACTCATTCCCAAAGTAATTGAAAACCTGCTATCTTCCAGTCACTGTGGTAGGAAGGCGAGAGATGAGTGACATGTGAGATTGATCCTGTGGTCATCTCAGTATCTTAGCTTTGATGGGGACATGTGTTTTTGTAGAAATAGCAAGTAGGCTACTCTGCCCAAAACTAAGGGGCCTCCTTGATTTTCCAACAAGTGACATGCCTTGATTCTTATAACACCCATGTAGACTCTCCAACTC